TACATACCCTAAACTCCCCACCGGTAGTTTCGTTTAATTTAGAGTTTATAAGGCCTTGGGCTTTAGGCTTCTGAGGTTTTAGGGCTTGGAGTTTGTGCGTTTAAGTTTGGGGCTTCAGGGCTTTGGGGTTTCAGGCTTAGGACTTTGAGGTTTAATTGGGCTAAGGGCTTAAGATGGCTTGAGGGTTTGGGATTGCTGGGTTTGGGCTTTTCGGGCTGAGGGCCTCTGGGATGGATTCGGCTTGAGGGCTCCAAGCACTGAAACCTGGCGTCGGGAGGGGAGGAGTCCCTTGGGGATTCAGGGCACGTAGAGTTTGGGGTCTTGAGCTCGCAGTTGGAAACACTGTCACGATATTGACACTGTAGATTACCAAGCGAGAGAAGTCACAGGCCGTGTGTAAACGAAAATGGGAGAGACACCCCCTAAACCCTAAACCCTAAACCCTAAACCCTAACCCCTAAACCCTAAACCCTAAACCCTAAACCCTAACCCCTAAACCCTAAACCCTAAACCCTAAACCCTAGACCCTGTGGGATGTCAGAAGAAGTCGCGGTTCGTCGGAAAGCGGGCGGCCTCAAGCTCAGAGGGATCTCATCGACGTGTCTCCAGAAGCTGTTGCAGATCTCTTCCTTGGAGGCCCAGGGGACTTAGTAAGTAGTTATTTTATAGTTACTATAAGGGTTCTATTTAGGGTTTGGGGTTTAGGGTTTAGGGTTTAGGGTCTACTTGGAGGCCCAGGGGACTTAGTAAGTCGGTTTTAAGTAGGGTTATTATTGGGGTAATTCCAGTTAGGGGACTTATAACTCTACTTATAACCTACTTACTAAGTCCCCTAGGCCTCCAAGTCTGCAGCGATGATCATCTTGCTGGAAATTCGCCTTTGCAGAGCCCGCAGAAAAGAAGCGGCGGGTTTTCAGATTCCAAGCCTGAAGCGTGCAGGAAGAGGAGTACTTGGATGTTCATGGGTTGTTATAAGTGGGGTTATAAGTCCCCTAATATGGGTTATAAGTATAGTTACCCTACTTATAACCCTACTTATAGCTAGCCATGAGCCTCCAAGTATGGCTTACATGGACGGCTTTCTGCACTAGGCAAACCAGCCAGCCGACCTCTGCAGCGTCGCCAGCAGACTTCAACCGCGTTGTCAGGCTTCACACCACAGGTATTAGATCGATGATATACAGGCGAGGTTTTCAGCTACGGCAATGAGTCATGCCTTTCGCAACCCTGACATGGTGATCATGAGGATGATGAACGGCCGAAGTTGGCAAACGGATATCTGAAACGTGATGTGTCGTTTACATGGATGAGCAGCCTTCAGTTCCTTTGTCCTGAGCTGATGGACCTGCAAGGCCCGAGGGATGACGTCCGTATACGTGGCGTCTTACGAGAGCTGGTCCAAAAACGTGGTTTAGGGTTTTAGGGTTTAGGGTTTTAGGGTTTAGGGTTTAGGGGATGACTGCAGAGGAAATTGGACCGCTGACGCTTTCTCGCAGTGCCATCAAAGCTCTGTGGCAGGCAGGCAGACAAGAGGCAGCACTTTATGGTACGTACATGCACTACCCATTCGAAGCTTTCCTTAATGGTCAGGCTGTCCTTTCTCCGACTTGACGTCGACGGCCTCGCGAACCGGATGGACCATACATGGAGAAGCGGAAAGCATGGCTGGATCCATTGACTTCTGCGTCCGACGACCAAATGGAAGTATGATACTGGTGGACTGGAAACGCACATCTGGTCTGCCTAGCAAGTTGCATTTAGGACTTGCTCCAACTACACATGACTTTCGGCATAATGCCTTGTGGCGAAGTGTTCATGATGTATTTCGTAGGTTCTGTCGGACGGATCGGGGTTTTCGGGTCTAGCCATCATGCAGTTGTGATTTCATGGGTTCCAGACCTAGACCCCAAGCCCTAAACCGTAAATTCCAGATCTCCACCACTCAAGTACAAGCCTGTGCCCAAAGCGTGATTACAGCGGCTTTCAGTTCCAACTTATTCAACCAAGCGTGTGTAATCTGTGTTGGCTTGTCACCTTAGCCCAAAACATCGCAAGTCGTGGACCTAATGAAAGTCCTCAACATCGCTACGCGAGTTTTGAGCCCCTGCAAACCGCAAACCAACATCCCTCACGGCTTAAGCGGGTTTCGGGGTTTCGGCAGAGGCTTTATGCCCGGGGGGTGATAGGGTTAACAGTAAAACCCCAACAGTTGGAACATAGGTTCAGGACGAATAATGTTGCGATCGCGTTTCTTCGGCGTAACGGCACAGTGCATATGGGTCGGGGCGGTCTGGTGCTCGGCCCTATAATGGTGCACTACCTAGTTGCTGCGAAGGGGCGGGAAAGTCGCATTTGTGGGGCAAGCCGTGAAACAAAAGCCTCAATTAAGGTACAGAAGATGACATCACGTGGCGCGTGTTTCCACTTCTCTTCAGGCAGTGCTGAGTTCTGCTTGGTATGCGTTGGTATAAAGCTCAGGGCTTAGGGTTGAGGGTGGTTGAGGTGTAGGACCGTAGGAGTTTTCTTCGTGGAGAAGAGGGAGGGGGTCGTGTCTTTCGCCTTACAGGGTCGGGTTACAAGCGTTCGTGTTTTCGGCGTCGGGTTTAAGGAGGTTTCGGGTCGTAGGAATCTTGCAAGTCGACGCAGTGCAGCTCTTACAGGGTTTAGGGTTTAGGG